GAAATTTTGTCCATCAGCCACGGATGAACATGCATGAAGAGACGTTCTGTTTTTATTTTGTTTTCTGGGTTTAAACATGCTTTTAAACTCTCAACTCCCTCATGCAATTACTTAGCTAGAAAATAAACATTTCCAGTTCAGAAATCGAGTTCAAACAACAACCATTAACATCAAAATTTTCTATAAATTTTCCTGCTTGGCTCGGATGAACATGCATGGGCAGATTTGCACTTTGATTTTATTTTTCTGGTTTAAACTAACTAATTAGCTGCATGCGGAGCCTAATTAACTTGTTATTAACTATCTAATTATGGTTATAAGCTCAAACTACAACATTAAACCAAATCAGGCTGCAAAAATCAAGCTAAGCTCTCGGCAGTTTCCATACTAGCACATAACAGAATTTCTTTTCTTAAAAATCTCATCCGTATGCCTAACCCCCACATGCAAGTTCTTAGATGACTTAACCTTATTGTTTTTGATTAGTTAAACACTTAATCAAACTCAGATTGTCGCAGGAAGTCAGAAATAAAACTACAATTTCAAGCCAGCTCCTCGGCAGAAATTTTTAACCAAAACAGAAATTTTTCTCTGCTTTAACCACCTCATCCGAATGCACAAATCAACATGCATGGTCTTAATCTCCAAGTTTTCACTCAGCTAATGACACTTAGGTGTTCAGATTGTCACAGAAAACAAAAATGGAGTTGCAATATCACTTCAGTTTCTCGGCAGCAATATTTTAACCGAACAGAAATTTTTCTAATGGTTTGATTTCAACATCCGACTGCACAATCCTTACATGCAAGCTCAGATATAGCTTCCTCTACTAGTAATCAACCCTATGGGTCCGGAAATTACCTCAGATAACAGCTAATCTCGCACAGAAAAAATTCCAGAATTTTCCTTCCTTGCTCTCGGCTTCAAGTGCAGTCGGTTGTCCTGGTTCCTGAGTTGCGGCTGGAGAAATGGGTTGCAGCTGGTGGATTTGAGTTCGGTTGGTTGGAGTTGGTGGAGATGGAGGCGCAGAATGGTGAAGCTTCACTGAAAATTTCTCCCTGGTTTTACTCCAGTTCACGGCAGAATCCAGAAAATTTTTTTACAGCTCACGTTCCCTCCTCCCTTGCTCTCGGATGCAACTCACCAGGTATGTGACGCCCCCCACTTCTCCCAAGGGCGAACCCAAGGGTATCCGCGGGATGTCTGCCAAGCTCTCGCCAGGACTCAAGACAAATCAAATCGAACTTAACGATACATACCAAATACTATGAGTCAAAATAAAGAAAAGTCGCTTCCTTAACTAAATATTTAAATCTTACATCACGTTCACAAAAGATACATCAAGTTCCAAAATCCAACCATTAAAAGTCGACTACACATTTACAGCCCCGATTCCAATCAAAAGTATAATCTAGTCGGCTTTACCAAAATCTTCCAATCCAACCTGTTAAGGAAAACAAACTAATAGGATGAGCCAATACTCAGTGAGGCCAAGAAAAAACACACATGCAAACACATAATCCAAGTAGCAACAACAATTACATTATAGGTAAGGCTATCAAATTCGAATAATTCATATTTCGAATAGGAAAAATAAACAGAAACAATTCAAGGATACTGTAGCTCTCAGGATCTAAATTTCACGTAGTCGAGTCGAAGTCTTGATCACATCTCACGTTGACACTCCGTCAACCACATAAGTATCAAATCCGTAGATACACCACTTTTCTTCGAATCCCGTCACCGTTACACCCCCTTACCGGGCCCGCTCATCAAAGTTTTTGATAATACTCGAGTATATCATGGCAATACTGCACGAGTAATGGCGAGCAAGATCTCTCCAATAGATCATGCTCTACGAATATCTCATGGTTTGCTAAGCTTATCGACCAAGCCCATGCTGGCTCGATTCGCAAAGTTAGCCAACGAGTTTTGGGCGTCCCCCGAATATGAATACGAATACGAATATAAGTCGATGAGCAACGCTCAAATCGACGATTCCAAATAGGAACCACAAATACGGATCACATATACGAATCACAAGTACAAATCACATCCACATTACCATGTACAAGTTGGATACGAATTCACATAGCAAAATTCGAATATAATTTCATTTGAAAGAGAACGAGTGCGATAAAGTACACACTCGTCTCAAAATTTCAAATTTACATAACGGATAAGAAACAGATAACCACTTAACAACAAGTTCATGCACTTGACACTCACAGTGATTCAAGTAGCGAGTTCAAATGATGGTTTAGGCGTCTCCCGTGAGATCCTCTGGAAGGTCCTCTTGAGCGCCTGAGCATTTAATAGTGAATTATCATTCACACATCCCAATTATCAATGAAGATTGTGCACTAGTACAATCTGGGAAAATTTCATGAAAATGAACCTCAATTACTAGTAAATCGAGGTTCAAGTGGAGTTTCTTAATGTACAAGAGTAATCGAGTTTTGTTATCTTGGAAATCAAGCATAAACGTTCAAGTATTATCGAAGGAATAAGGAATACTTGAAAAACTCCATTTCCTTGAAATTCAGAAAATTTCAGTTTTGATACGATATTTTGAAAAAAAATCGTATCTCAGATTTCACATGTCGAAAATTGGAAAACTTGGTACCGTTGGAAACCTCTTCCAAAGTACTAAAAGTTATTAGAAGACACTTTTCCATGAATCTAAGTGGAAGGTGTTCAAAAATGAGCTTAAAGTTGCTGTTCCAAATCACCCAGGATTGAGCCGGGGTTGGTTTTTCGCTAACTTTGAAAATTCAGTAGAATTCACTCGTTGCAAACCAGCCCTTGAAATTTGTAGCTCAATTAGAGGTGCAAGTAAGGTTTAGGGCAGAACAAGCGGATCGAGAATCGGAGTTTCGAGCACCAAGATATGGTAGCTCAAAGTTGGGTAAATTTCAAGACTGTTAACAAATTTCCAGATTTGGTTCCGACTTTGGACCTTTAGTTAAGTGTCGAAACGGACTTGGATTGATACCAAATTTTGTAGTATAATACTCCTATATGAAGGGTATCTCTCTATCAAATTTCGTGGAAAAATACCTTCGGAAAGGTGGTTAACCAATCAACCAAAGTTTGGAAAAATCCTTAAGGCAATCTGTCCAAATCTAAGGTTTCAAAAACGAGGCAGTCGCCGTATTTTGATCATAACTCCCTCAATTTAATTCAGAATTGGAGAATTAAGAACGATCAATAATAGATTAAGAAAGGATAATTGAGGAATTAATACTCAATTCACGTGAGGACTCGTAAAATTATTATTTTTAAACCCCTAATTTTGGCTCAATTAATTATCTATTTGGATTTTTGCCCGAATATTATTTTCTATCCTTATTAGACCTAAATATATGGTTTTATAGCTTCGTTATATTTTTAAAGTGTCTCGTTTCAAAAATTATTTTCTTAGAAGCTTGTTTAGTGAAAAAGTGAAAGCGTGTCTGAAAACTTTAGCCAATTAGGAGTACAATAAGCTCAAAAATTTAAGACATATACAATGGTCCTAAAATAGGTAATTTTAGGTTTAAATATTGAAGTGATAGTTAGTGGTAAGATCGTTATAAGAATTTCTCAAAGGTTTCAATTTTTATTGCGCCTAAATTAGAAATACGTGTTTCACGTGCGCGCTTAATTGAGGGACTTTGGACAATTATTTTGGGACAATTAAGAATGAATAATATTTATATAAATGTAAGTGTCCTAGAGGTTTAGTGCACTAGTGCAACAAACGTGAGAGAAATCGAACACAAAACGCGCGCGTAGGGCACTAGTTGCAATTAAAATTTTACGTACTTAAAATATTAGACGTCAAGCGTCTTTTGTACGCAAAGGCATCCGAATCACATTTCATTTCTGCTACTGCAATGGACGGATAGCACAGCCGCAACTCTTCACCATTTCCTTCTACAAATCTCACAAAAATCACAACCAAACCTCCATAGATTCAACCAAAACTTCACATACACTTAGCTCTACACTTGGACAACACATTAAGCTGAAAAGGGGAGGAGCTTTCACGGTTTCTTCAGGCTTCAAAAGGACCGAATCTCTGTCTTAAACATCAACTAAGAGTAAGTCTTAATCTAGCCTTCTAACTTTGATTTTTGGAAGTCTAGTATATCTTTTAGCTCTTGATCTCTTATGGATTGTTGTGGATGTTGGAAAATTGTTAAATGTGGGCTCTATGAACTCCCACTTTGGGTTGATGGCTGTGATGATGTTTGATGATGGTTTTATTGCTGAATTAGAGCTTAAGGAAGTAGATTAAAGGTGCATTGTTGCCAGAAACGTTATTGAACTCTTGAAGCAAAAAGTTCCCATTTTACCCCTGCTCTGTTCGGTCACCTTAATGCAGAAATTTGAGGATTTAATGGATTGATTGTGTTGTTTATATGTTGTAGTAGTTGTGTAAAAATTTTCATTGAAAAATACTGAGTTTTGGTGGGTCAAACGAATTTATTTCAAAAACTAGTAATCTGGAAAACGGTTTCGTCGTAACCCAGACCAGTGTTTGTATTTCGTCCATAACTCCGTACTCCGACGTCGAAATCAAGTGCCGTTAGCGGCATTTGAAACTAGACGTTCCCATGTTTCCAACGGTGTATAATGAACATTCTGGTTTCATGTGTGTGAGCCACACCATTCATCTGAAGTCGGCTGTCCTGTTTCTCCGTTCTGCCGAAATGATTTGATGATGCTGCAACTTTAGGCTTAATTTCGAGCTAGTTGCATGCTGAAACTTGAAACTATTTCTTCTGTGAAATTTTAGCCCTGTGAATATGAAGGTTAATTTTAGTTAAGGTACAGAAGGAATGGTCCCGAAATCAAGGTATTATTTTTTCAAGGTATTATTTTTGATATTTTTGATCAATAATTGTAATAGTACTTCTCCCAAGGGCGAACCCAAGGGTATCCGCGGGACGCCTGCCCAGCTCTCGCCAGGACTCAAGACAAATCAAATCGAACTTAACGATACATACCAAATACTACGAGTCAAAATAAAGAAAAGTCGCTTCCTTAACTAAATATTTAAATCTTACATCATGTCCACAAAAGATACATCAAGTTCCAAAATGCAACCATTAAAAGTCGACTACACATTTACAGCCCCGATTCCAATCAAAAGTATAATCTAGTCGGCTTTACCAAAATCTTTCAATCCAACCTGTTAAGGAAAACAAACTAATAGGATGAGCCAATACTCAGTGAGGCCAAGAAAACACACATGCAAACACATAATCCAAGTAGCAACAACAATTACATTGTAGGTAAGGCTATCAAATTCGAATAATTCACATTTCGAATAGGAAAAATAAACAGAAACAATTCAAGGATACTGTAGCTCTCAGGAGCTAAATTTCACGTAGTCGAGTCGAAGTCTTGATCACATCTCACGTTGACACTCCGTCAACCACATAAGTATCAAATCCGTAGATACACCACTTTTCTTCGAATCCCGTCACCGTTACACCCCCTTACCGGGCCCGCTCAACAAAGTTTTTGATAATACTCGAGTATATCATGGCAATACTGCACGAGTAATGCCGAGCAAGATCTCTCCAATAGATCATGCTCTACGAATATCTCATGGTTTGCTAAGCTTATCGACCAAGCCCATGCTGGCTCGATTCGTAAAGTTAGCCAACGAGTTTCGGGCGTCCCCCGAATATGGATACGAATACGAATATAAGTCGATGAGCAACGCTCAAATCGACGATTCCAAATAGGAATCACAAATACGGATCACATATACGAATCACAAGTACAAATCACATCCACATTACCATGTACAAGTTGGATACGAATTCACATAGCAAAATTCGAATATAATTTCATTTGAAAAAGAACGAGTGCGATAAAGTACACCCTCGTTTCAAAATTTCAAATTTACATAACGGATAAGAAACAGATAACCACTTAACAACAAGTTCATGCACTTGACACTCACAGTGATTCAAGTAGCGAGTTCAAATGATGGTTTAGGCGTCTCCCGTGAGATCCTCTGGAAGGTCCTCTTGAGCGCTTGAGCATTTAATAGTGAATTATCATTCACACATCCCAATTATCAAGGAAGATTGTGCACTAGTACAATCTGGGGAAATTTCATGAAAATGAACCTCAATTACTAGTAAATCGAAATTCAAGTGGAGTTTCTTAATGTACAAGAGTAATCGAGTTTTGTTATCTTGGAAATCAAGCATAAACGTTCAAGTATTATCGAAAGAATAAGGAATACTCGAAAAACTCCATTTCCTTGAAATTCAGAAAATTTCAGTTTTGATACGATATTTTGAAAAAAAAATCGTATCTCAGATTTCACATGTCGAAAATTGGAAACCTTAGTACCGTTGCAAACCTCTTCCAAAGTACTAAAAGTTCTTAGAAGACACTTTTCCATGTATCTAAGTGGAAGGTGTTCAAAAATGAGCTTAAAGTTGCTGTTCCAAATCACCCAAGATTGAGCCGGGGTTGGTTTTTTGCTAACTTTGAAAATTCATCAGAATTCACTCGTTGCAAACCAGCCCTTGAAATTTGTAGCTCAATTAGAGGTGCAAGTAAGGTTTAGGACAGAACAAGCGGATCGAGAATCGGAGTTTCGAGCACCAAGATATGGTAGCTCAAAGTTGGGTAAATTTCAAGACTGTTAACAAATTTCCAGATTTGGTTCCGACTTTGGACCTTTAGTTAAGTGTCGAAACGGACTTGGATTGATACCAAATTTTGTAGTATAATACTCCTATATGAAGGGTATCTCTCTATCAAATTTCGTGGAAAAATACCTTCGGAAAGGTGGTTAACCAATCAACCAAAGTTTGGAAAAATTCTCAAGGCAATCTGCCCTTAATCCTTTTCTTACCAAATCCAATCGTTTGGCTAAGAAAATCCTCCAATCATGGTTCATATGTGAAAAGAAAGTTTAAGAAACATTCATGGTACATTTGGTAGGTGTTTAGCTTCAAGAAATTCATTTAGTAAGACCACCACAAATGTCACGTCAAATCTGTCCAAATCCAAGGCTTTCAAGAACAAAACAGTCACCGTATTTTGATAATAACTCAGTCAATTTAACTCGGATTTGAGCATGGTTGATAGTGTTAGAAAATACATTCATAGGGATGTGATTTCACAGAAGAAATCGTTTTAAGTTTCAGCATGCAACTAGCTCGAAATTAAGCCTAAAGTTGCAGCATCATCAAATCATTTCGGCAGAACGGAGAAACAGGACAGCCGACTTCAGATGAATGGTGTGGCTCACACACATGAAACCAGAATGTTCATTATACACCGTTGGAAACATGGGAACGTTTAGTTTCAAATGCCGCTAACGGCACTTGATTTCGACGTCGGAGTACGGAGTTATGGACGAAATACAAACACTGGTCTGGGTTACGACGAAACCGTTTTCCAGATTACTAGTTTTTGAAATAAATTCGTTTGACCCACCAAAACTCAGTATTTTTCAATGAAAATTTTTACACAACTACTACAACATATAAACAATACAATCAAGCCATTAAATCCTCAAATTTCTGCATTAAAGTGACTGAACAGAGCAGGGGTAAAATGGGAACTTTTTGCTTCAAGAGTTCAATAACGTTTCTGGCAACAATGCACCTTTAATCTACTTCCTTAAGCTCTAATTCAGCAATAAAACCATCATCAAACATCATCACAGCCATCAACCCAAAGTGGGAGTTCATAGAGCCCACATTTAACAATTTTCCAACATCCACAACAATCCATAAGAGATCAAGAGCTAAAAGATATACTAGACTTCCAAAAATCAAAGTTAGAAGGCTAGATTAAGACTTACTCTTAGTTGATGTTTAAGACAGAGATTCGGTCCTTTTGAAGCCTGAAGAAACCGTGAAAGCTCCTCCCCTTTTCAGCTTAATGTGTTGTCCAAGTGTAGAGCTAAGAGTATGTGAAGTTTTGGTTGAATCTATGGAGGTTTGGTTGTGATTTTTGTGAGATTTGTAGAAGGAAATGGTGAAGAGCTGCGGCTGTGCTATCCGTCCATTGCAGTAGCAGAAATGAAATGTGATTCGGATGCCTTTGCGTACAAAAGACGCTTGACGTCTAATATTTTAAGTACGTAAAATTTTAATTGCAACTAGTGCCCTACGCGCGCGTTTTGTGTTCGATTTCTCTCACGTTTGTTACACTAGTGCACTAAACCTCTAGGACACTTACATTTATATAAATATTATTCATTCTTAATTGTCCCAAAATAATTGTCCAAAGTCCCTCAATTAAGCGCGCACGTGAAACACGTATTTCTAATTTAGGCGCAATAAAAATTGAAACCTTTGAGAAATTCTTATAACGATCTTACCACTAACTATCACTTCAATATTTAAACCTAAAATTGCCTATTTTAGGACCATTGTATATGTCTTAAATTTTTGAGCTTATTGTACTCCTAATTGGCTAAAGTTTTCAGACACGTTTTCACTTTTTCACTAAACAAGCTTCTAAGAAAATAATTTTTGAAACGAGACACTTTAAAAATATAACGAAGCTATAAAACCATATATTTAGGTCTAATAAGGATAGAAAATAATATTCGGGGCAAAAATCCAAATAGATAATTAATTGAGCCAAAATTAGGGGTTTAAAAAAAAAATAATTTTACGAGTCCTCACGTCAATTGAGTATTAATTCCTCAATTAACCTTTCTTAATCTATTATTGATCGTTTTTAATTCTCGAATATTAATACACTCTCGATTCGAATATAGTCTCGAAAAACGTGCACTCGTTGTTCCGAACTAAACGAGTTTTCGAAAAGTGAATTTTTCCAACAAAACGCTTTTAAAAATATAAAAGATGCGTCGTTCCATATAAATGGATTTTAAATGATCGAAATAAATAATTTGGAGAAAAATGAGTAAATAAATATTTAAACAAACTATTAATATTCGATAAAAATAAAAATAAAAAATTTCGGGTCCTCACATCATCCCCTCCTTAAAAGAATTTCGTCCTCGAAATTCACACTTTGGATAATAGTCATACCCCTTAAGAGTCATGCCTTTCAAATTAATCACTAACTTACACCCTCCGATCCATATATCACAATTTCTATTTACCCAATTAGTAGTCAAACTTTGATTCTATCTTATGAATCTAGGGTTTTGCAAAAAGTGTGTACGGTACTAGGTCACTGAGAACCTTAGATAGACAAATAAAAGAAAGAATCATACCTCCAATGACTTTAGTAGAATCGGAAACATGTTGATAGCCTAATGCATAAACCCTAGCTGGTGCATTAGATCGACTTCCTCCAACACTAGGCTGCTTAGCGGCTGACTTTTCAGGCCTTTGGGTACTACCGCCTTCTTTTGGTACGGTCGGGCATTTCGATATCTGGTGCTCGGTACTACCACAATACAAGCACTTCCCTTGTTTCCTAAAACAATCATTCTCCGTATGGTTGAGCTTGCTACAATAACCACAAACGACTTGGGGAGCCACAGATTGACCACTTGGAGGTGTCCCTCTCGATTGATCTCGTCCATTGCGATCTCCTCTTGATTGAGTCCCTTTTGGCATGTTAGATATCTCCACTCCACCCGTTCCTTTTCCCTTTTTAAAAGGTGGGGCACTCTTATCTGCCTGTCCCGAAGGGTTACTAGAAGTGCCCCTCTTCTTAGCATGAAAGTCTCTAACTTGCAGCCTTGCACTCTCGGCTCTCTGTGCTTTTTCTAAGACTTCAGTGAACGTAGAGATTTGGGCTGCAGCCAAACCCTCCTGAATTTCTACATTAAGTCCCTGCACGAACCGTCTAATCCTCCTCCGTTCATTAATCACCAATTCAGGAGCGTACTTAGAAAGCTTAGTGAACTTTCCCTCGTACTCCGCTACACTAAGGGTTCCTTGTTTCAACTTGATGAATTCATCCTCCCTTTTCTCTTGGATTAAGGGCGGTTTCTCATTAAATTCCCTTGTGAAATTCTCCCAAGTCCAAGGGGTTTGAGTTCTCTCCCATTTTCCTCTTATCAGATCCCACCAAGCACGGGCTACTCCCTCAAATTGGAAAGCAGCGAAATTCACTCGCCTATCTTCAGTGTAGTCTAAAGCAGCGAATATGTTGGTCATCCTTTCTAACCAATTCTCCGCTACCTCAGGATCAGCCAAGAAACTTAGGCGGGTTAAATTTTAAGAACCTCTCTAAGGCTCTATCCTCACCTCTTTCCTGACCCCTAGGTTGGTTAAACGGTCCTGGACCCTGTCTTTCAGCTAAGCGTTCTAGGATATCAGTCATCCTAGTGATGGCAGTAGCCATTTGGTTAACCTCTATATTCTCTTGTCCTTGGGTCGGTCCAGTTGCCGATCCCTGATCGTTTCCCTGAGGTTGGGCCGGTCTAGTCCCTCGCCCACGGCCTCGACCACGGCCTCGACCCCTTCTTAGCCCTTCCATAACTTAGGCGTGCCTAGTGCAAGAAATAAATAAATAAATTATGCAATGCAAAGTAGAAAGCAGGAACCAATCAAGAAAACATCGGAAATAACAATAATTTACATTTATTAACATATCAAGTTCATACAATTAGCAAGTCATGGGGTAGTCACAAAAATATAGCACTCAGATGCCACAAGAGTACTTTTAATCACATACGACTAAAGTAAAGTCAAGTGCCTCAAAAGTAGGCCACACAGTCATACAAAAAAATGCAATGACCTCAACACTAGCATCACCCCAGCTAAATCAAGAATTGATATGAGTGCATACATATAATAAAATTTAAGCGTATAATTTTAATGAGTTATCAAAGAGTATAACAAGTATCAGACCCATTATAACCTTAAATCCTCAAGTACATATACACACATTAACTGGTTCATATAAACTCAAGAATTTTAGACTAAGCCAATCTTGAGTTACACAGATTATAATGATTATAAAACAATATAGTTCCATTTAGTAACATATACGATTATAGTAGATAATGGTATACTATACGATTATAATCTATATTTATAATCTATGTGTATTATATAGATTATGTCCCTACTCATAT